TAACTTGTTATATTTATAAGTTGCATATCAATTTTAAACCACAATGCTTACTGAAAGAATTAATTAAGGTTGTCTTCTTCTGTGAGGAGCTTTGTTTTATTTGCATTGTTTGCTGTATATTCATCTTTTGCACTTTACAAAAGAAAGCGTATAAAAGCTTAAGATACAGATGTCCAGGCCTATGTTTCAGCAATATTGTCCCTTTCAAAGTCTGTCTTGTCTTAACTGGTAGAGTGTGCCCAAAATTTTAAAGCTGCATAGGATTGTGTGTGTATCCCCGATTCTTTGGGACATAAGACCTCCTTCTTCCCAAAAGAATATGAGTATGTTCATAACACCTTTCCAAGGAGTATTGATTTCTTATATCAAACAGAAGCTTTTACAAAGTTGACAATAGAAAGTTATTTCTAAGAATCTTCCTTTTTGGAAAACTGCTGTCATATAAAATCTGTGCTAATGTTTCTGTGCACATCCACTATTTATGCAGATACTTAAGGCTATGAATACAAAGACTGTTTACCTGTCCAAGCTGCACAGAAATTATGTGCAATATTTGAGTGGTTAAATTTCTCTCCCAACTGTTAACTCACCATGTGTCCATCCAGGCATTTATGACATTTCTCACTGCTCATGGTCCTTGCCTTTGGTGCAATGGTAGAAGGAAAACAAATTCCAGAGACACAATCTGGATTTACAAAGGTTTTGGAGAGCTTCAGCATGACTACCTCTAGGTCAGGACTGAAGTTGTGTAGTCAGTGAAAGGTAGATGTGTAAAACACATATGGAAAACTTCTGCTCTCAGTTCTGTCAACCACATAACTCTCAGAGATACAAAAATTCAAGGGGAAGAAAGGTCAAAACCAAGGGTAAAATTCCATACCTTTTACATAGGCCATCTTAGAATAATTCTTGACACATAATAACTGCTGGAAAATTACTATTTCTGGTTTAAACCAGACAACGTACTGTTTTAAACATGCCTTGATTGTGGCTGTAGGGCTGGAAAATTACCTTTTCAAATTGTTTACTTTCTTCTCCCTAGACTGGTCTCCACTGTAGGATAACATACAGGGGAACCACATCACTTTTGCCACTCCCCCCATTTACATAGTGCCTTGAAAACAACTAATTGGGTGGATATAGCCATAAAGCCAACAGCAGTGGGAAATGAGGCGTTCAGGTTCAGGTGCAATAAAGCTTCATTTCCAAAAAAAATTCAGAAGATGAAGATACAGCAAACAATGCAAATAAAACAAAGCTCCTCAGAGAAGATAATCTGAATTAGTTCTTTCAGTAAGTTTCCTAAAGCCCTGCACGCAATCATCAGATGTGGGAGGTGTGAAACAGTATATTTACAAGGTAAGTGATGGGGAACACACAACTCTACATAATGATGCTTCTATACCATTTATCTGTCTCTCTGTGCTATTTACAGATCTCTGCAATTTCTCTGTCATCGAGAATACATTAGTTAGTAGAGCTACCTCTCCTTCTTGACGAAAAAAGTTTTTGGGGTATGTGTGCGACTGTCTTCTGTGAACACGTGGATGTTTCACTGATCAGTCTAAGCACTTGAGTATAGAGGAAATATAAGCAACCAGTGTCTCCTTTTTGCTAGATGCATACAGGAGCTTGCACGCAGTGTCGGCCATCTGACAGTTGGTTTCTGTTCCTGTCCATTTGCTTTCCAAAGAGACTGAATCCTTGTCACACTTGTGGTCTATGCTGGCTAACGTCTGCTTGAGCCTCTTTTCTGTATCAGCAGTTTATATCATTGCCCTGACATGTTTTAGAACAACAGCAAATTGTTAATTTCCTGTGCACAGTGCAGGGCCGAAAAATGGCAGTGAACGTTGAGGGGTCCTTTTTTTTATTTGAGCAGAGTATATCAGATAACAGTGCTTTCACCTTGCCCTTGGACAAAATAAAGATTATGTAAATATTTAGCACTGAAAAATAAACGTTAATGTCAAATTAACAAATTGTTGTACTACAGCAGCACTGGAAGAAGCCCAAGTTCCATCTATCCATCTGCAGCAGCATCAGCAGCAGGGAAAACAGACTTTCATAGCTATCCAGGCAACAACATGGGGAAGCTACAGTGTTAACTATATAATACAATTTAAAGACTTAGATGGACAGTGTGATACAAATGCTGTTTTTCCAACAGTCTTTTGTTCTTACTCTCTGTTTTGGTGGCTCCAGTTTGAGAATTACAAATAGAACAGGGTGGAGGCAAAAGGGAGTCTTTAATGTGAATAAAAAAGGGGAAAAAAAAAGAGAGTTCAAAGTAGAAACTAGTTACTAGACCTTGAATCACAGCTATTAGGAGAACTATTACAAGTCTGTCAAGGAGCAATTAGACTACTTTGCAAGAATATTAAGAGCACATATTTTCACAGAGAAGGATCTTAAAAAGGGAAATCAGAGAAACCTTTTAGTTTATGGAGTACTGCCTACTGCATTTTAGTTACTTATTTCCTGTTTATTTTCCACTTGAAAAATCGCATCCCAGAAACATAATGTAATTTTTAAAAACTTGCATTTATGACCATTCAATTTCAAATGTTTTGTTGAAAAAAAACACAAAAAACAAATGGAATGCTGTAAACAAATTTAAGTCAGCCACAAAAAACATTCTGACAGATGTTAGCATCTGTGAACATGTATCTTTCATGACAGTTCTTTCCAATCTGGGCTCTTTTCAAATAAGAAGACCTCTAAAATTTTTTGTTGTTGTTATTTCAATATGCTTTACAGAATTTAAAGTAGGTTTTCCATACCAGAAGGACAATTTTTCAATATATTAGTCCATCTACTTGGAATGCTAGCTGCAGCACCTGACACTCAACTTTTAATTGTGCGTGCTGCCAGACAGGTTAACCCATTGACTAGATCTGCATTAAGATAAACAGCAAATATCATTGGATGAAGAAAAAGAGGGGATAAAAGGAAATCCAACTTTGAAATGAATTAGTTTCACGGGATTATCACTTGCCAATAAAACTGTTTTACACAGAATTACGTATGAACAGGCTACTCAGAAACTTGCAACAACTTGCTAGACCACAATGAATTACAGCAATTGACTATCATGTTTCTCGGGGCCTGCTCAGAAAGAGAAATATGATTTTCCTCATTTCTATTTCTTCCAGCCACTCAAACAAATCCTCAGCTCTTCTAAATATTTTGCTCCCCAAGGGTCCTGCTTGCATGGTGGCAGACCTTTCCACTGCTCTATGATCTGGCAAATGGCAAACAAAATAAAGAGCAAAACCGAAAGAACTATCAATGACTAGCACATAGATGCAGATCACACTAATTTTCAAAGTAAATGCACTGTCTTTCTTTTATTCTAGGAATAGAAAGTTATAGTAGGCTGGAATGCTAATATTCAGGTAGGAAATAGGTCAAAACATGCCAAGAGAAGTGAACGGAAAATTTGTCTAGTCATACACAGATTTTAAAATGCGAATTCACAGCTACAACTAGCATTGTTTTCTACCAGCAGTGGTTAGCTTTTCGTTCTTGACAACACCCTTTTCTGTCCAGCCTCCTCACCCAAATCTTCTGAGTGCTCTGACCAGTTTAACTGCTTAATAATTCTAAAAATGCAACTATTTTTGTTACACTGACTACTACACAACCAGCCTTGTCCTTTAAGGCACAAAACTGACCAGCTCTATTTTTTACTAAACTCACGTGGCCCGCTCAAAACAAACAGATACTGGCAGGAGCAAAATCCAAATTATACACTGCTTTATCCCAGGAACACAAAGTACAAGGCCGACGCAGTGAGTCAGACACCTCAGTGCCAGTGAGCTCCTCAGGTTGACAGGAGTCTCTCTGGGATCCTCCTAAGCCAGGATTTTTAAAAAAGAGTCAAAATAACTGGGTTTAGACAAACATGTGTTGTGTCATTAGCAAAAGTATCTTTCTCATCAGACGGGAAAAGGCAGCAAAAAGTATGCCAGGAATGCTGGAAATGGGCAGACAGTCACAGGGAGTCATATTTTCTTCTGGTTTTTTTTTTTCCCCATGAATCTCCTTCAGCATGAAAAGTCCATTTGCGAGAGCAGTTAATAATGGGGGGAAAGGCAGATGATTTGACAATAATACAGGGAATGTGGGACCAATTTATGTACAGCAGAAACCGGAGAACTTCTCAGTTTCTGCAATGATTTCTCGGCGTCTTTTGAAAATGCTCTAAACAGTTCAGCTAAACAGAGTTTAACCCCTCAGACATATCCATTTGTTTATCAGTAAAAGGCCATATTCTATATATGTGTATTTATGAGAAAAAGCTAGACTCCTACGGGCAGCACCATAATTTCTATGTTCTAAGCTGTTAGTTTTAACCTACTAAATGAATCCATTTCCTTCCAATCAAAGTGAGGTTTCTCCCACAATTTGCCAGTCTCTTACTAGAAACTGGATGCCTTGAACCGAATGCATTACTTCCCCTGCTCCACATTTAATTTCATGCTTCTTTTCAGCTTATTGCGCTTTTTATGCTTCCCTGTGACAACAGCATCTAGGTTATTATGAAGTGCTACAAGAGAAGATATACAATAAAACAGCCTGTCGAAAATACTAATCAATTAACTATTAATGTACCTTGATATCTAATTAGAAACTTTTGTTTATGAAACAACGCATAACCTAACTCATCTTGCCTCATAATATACAAACCTTGCTTTCATGGCAGTTTTGCTTTAGAGAAGGAAGTTTAAAAAGAAAAAAGATGGCTTGTTAATTACAAAAGAAAAAGCCATCAGTTGGTTCAAAGGACTGCCAGAGGGCGTTGGACCCTTTTGCTCACTATCAGGTGACAGACAGAGACATTTTTGATAGAGGAGAAAAGTCTCATGTGGATGTTTATCAGCCATGGAAACAGCAGCTGATAAAGTAGTATGAGGTGTTTTCCATTCCTCAGTCTGTAAAAGAAGTGTTAGTTCTCTTATTTGCAAAAGAGAAAGGAGGTTGATGTTTTTTTTCAGGATCTAAAACAGCCTGTTAGCTGTGAACAACAACAAACAAGTTGTTTTCTGAGCTTGGACATCTATAAAATTTGAGGAACTTCTAAGAGACCAGTCTAGCAACTGCACCTGAGAATACCCAGCTACAGCATGTTCTCAGAAGCAACTGGCTCTCATTTTTTTTTAATTTCATGTTTGACATAAGAAGTGCAATCTGAGATTTCTGTTTTCTTTCACCCCATTCCTGTGAAGGGTGTGGGACTGGGGCAGGTTAACTATCTCAAATTGAGTGATTGCAAGTGTACTTTTGGTTAAAAGTTGGAAATAAAATATAGAGACAGTATTATCATTTGAACTGCGGCAGAATTGATGTTAAAAGTCAGCTTGAATAACGGTCTGTCAGCTGCTCTGACTTTTGATCAAATGTGGCCCTCTGGAAGAAAATCTAAACGGAGCAATACTGTCCTCAAAACCACATATTGATGTAGGGCTGGTAAAGTACTTTTTCTCTCACATATATGCATTATAGCAAGAATGAATTAAGTACATAGCAACGACTTCACACAAGATGTATCTTCTTAAAAAATAATGCAAGTTAAGTTCCATATAACTCTTATATTTAAAGGAGCTTCTTAAAAATGTTGGGGACAATGTTGATAATTACTTTCCTGTGGGTGATGACTGAGCTTACATTTTAGGAAAGAATAATCTTCCTCAGTTCCTTCTGGAGGAATTTTATTGATCAATGAGTGCTGTAAATTATACATTGGCTTACAAGGTAGAAAGAATTGAGAGAATTCTATTATTTCAAAAGCTCAGGAAGGACCATTGAGCATGCCACTACCCACCAGCAGGGTGGCTTAGAGGAACTCAAATTCTCCAAAACTTTGAAGAAACCCTTCAAAGCCTACTGAAAATTACATCTGGAGAGTTCTCAATGGGACCTGTTAAACTAATTGCTCATCTCCATTCAGGTCCTAAAGTCTGCAGGAAGAGACATTTCCTAATGTCCTGAAAGGCTGAACTTAGAAGCTTAATATAAGCTCTGCCACTGTAACTCACTTTAATAATATTCCTGAGTGAAAATAAAATCTTATGTATCTTACATTTTCATCTTAAGCCAGCATTAACCAAAAGTTAGTGCAAAACCAAAGGAAGAAAATGCAGTATAATAGACACAGCTATCTCAGACCCAGAGTTGCTGAGAAAGACTTTGAAATCAGTCTTTGATCTCAAACCCTGAGGATCATAAGAGGAAAAGGAAAGGATTCAAAGGTTCAGTACTGGTCAGAAAGGAAAACTGTCTGCCATATCTTTTGTATTTAAGAAAACAAGATCCAGTTCTTGATTCACTACACTCTAAACAGACCAGTATTGGGATGCAAAGACTAAAACAGAAGAGGTTAAAACCACTGGTCAAAACCTGTATGCTCCATAGGTTCTGTATGTAGGATTTCCGCATTAGTGTCAGTGTTTTGACACCACATTACCTTTTACTGCAGAGGAACTTAAGTGCGATGACCTGCAGATTTCCAGAAGTCAATGGGATCTTTTACCAGTGACTTCACAATGGAAGTGTACACCTATGTTTCTCTAATAGTATCTTGCAAAATCCTCATTTTAGAAAAGCCTTTCATTTCTCTATCTCTCTGTGTATTTCTCTTTTGTTTCAAAAGACGATTCTATGAGGATAAGTTACCAGCAGAGCATATCAGAGACTGAAACAGGCAAATGGGATGTAACAGCTATTCCGTGAAACTCAAGGAACAGTATAAGATGTTCATCGATGGTTTTAAATTAACTTCCGATTACTTAATTTTCAATCTTCTTGTCATCTGTTGATGACATAAACTATAGACAGATCCTTCTCTTCTCTGGGCAGAACTACTATGTCACAGCACACCTACTACAAAACTACACCGTTTCCATCAACAGCTTCATGCCATGCTGAGTGTGCTTATTCCCTACGAGCTGACAACTGACATTTCCAAACACCCTCCTCTTTGGTTTCTCATATATCACAGCCTCAACAGAAAAATTCCTATGCATCTTATTACTCACCTAACATTTGGTGGATCTGTATTCATGATGGGTGTTGCACAAAGAGGCTTGTTTCCTTGAATGTGGCTTCTGTAACCTTGTCTTGCAGGCAAACAGTACACCCTTTGGATAACAACTCGTACCTGTGCTTCTCTCCATGCCACTGCTCCCTGGCTTTCCACCATTTCAAGCAGAGAATCATTAAGAGCACTCAGTGCTAACGGATGCCGTTTCAAATCACAGTTGTTATGGATTTGTGGAGCTTGAGCAACCTGGTGAAGGAAAACCCATTAACAGAAACATTCCGTGGAACCTTGAAACTATGTAGAGCTAGAGAGGGAAACGTCAGCATGAAAAATCAAGTTGCAAGTGCAAAATCAGTTTCAAAATACTTAATGCTCCTAAAGTAACTTAGAGACTAGTGGCCAGTATTTATTGTGGATTTTTAATGAACACCCAAGAGAGTTGCATACACAATGTATTCCTGTATTTAACTGGTGCTCTAGAGCTAACTCAGTACATGAGAGATGAGAGTGACACCAGCAGGAAAACAGAACTGATATTAGTCCTTATGATTCTTCCCCTTGAACTGAGTTTCATTTTTAGTTCTTTGATGTTCTGTTCCTTTCTCTTTTAAAATAAAGAGTAAAATCCATCTTGAATGCTTCTGGACTTTCAGATAAAGTTGTAAATGAACAGATGTCTAGTTCTATAGACTAGTAAGTCAGTCATCAGACTTACACATTTCAATGGAAAATATTTCAATGTAAAAGAATTAGATGATTAATGAAAAGTAAAAATCTTCAAAGTACAAACCTTAATTTATTGGTTCACTATTTCCAAAACATATTTTATTAATAAAATCTTCCAAACTTTCAAAATAAATTTTATGAATGCTCCATTTTCCCTTTATGTAAATGAGAAATTTCATTGATTTTATTTTTAAAATAAATCTCTCTTGGTAAAAACTGTACGCAAGTATAGACTAACACAGTCAATATTTATAGGTTCCTTCACAGCATGAGCCAAATTTCTATTTTCACAATGAACCCTGTTTTTATGAACAGCTGGGTGCCAAGAAAGATTTTCAGAGTATCACAGCCTGTGCCATAAGTATTATAGACCAGTAAAGAAGAAGAATTTGCAATATTTAGAAGTAAATTGTGGTACAACACTACCCTTTATCTACAAAGAGGTTGCAATAAAACTTGTCTACTGAGTTTTAAATCAAGTGGTTTTGTTTGTTAGGAGCCATGAGAGGAACAAGTCAATTGTTCTGGTTTTCAAATACCATAGTTGAAACTTTTTACAAGTTAGAGTTGAAGATTAGGATTTATGTAATTTTTTAATTCCCAGGCCTATAATGGGAATTATATATAAGGCAAATATAAAATGTTGACATTCGTTGTTCTTCAAACTTGTAGGGCCAAACTTCTCAAATATTAAGAATTATTTGGGTAGCCAATATAAAGCCTTTACAAGAGCCTTACTTTCAGAAAGTCCTGGCACAGGCTATTAAAAAAACAAATCCCTTAAAATACCTCAGCTTGTACAACCACAGCTAAGGAAATGCAGAGTCAGTAGTCATCTTAATACAAATAAAGTCAAAATAGGAAAGAAAAGAAATGAAGGGGTGGGAAAGGTTGATAATGCTATCGATTGATTCTTTAAAGAAAGGATAGGATCAATTAGGAAATGAGTTAAGAAACATGAGTGGAAAAATGGAATGTTTGTTTAAAATGCTATCTTGAGTGAGTTAGAAGAAAACAGATTTTATTTTTTAGTTATTCAGCTATAACGAAGAAGAGAAAAATCAATGGAAAACCAAGCTACAATTACTATTTAGAACAGTAGTGAGCCTTCAGCAAAATAACTTCACAGCAGTTCAGCATTTGGATGGACCAAAAGCCTCTGCTAAGAAAATATTATTAAAATAAACACTGCGTATTATTCAGCCTTGGCTAAATGAAAGGGGAAACTGAAAAGGTCAGTAATTTAGAATTTTTGTTTTTCTGACCATTTCCAAACATCTGCTGACCAACTTCTTAACAAGTGCTAAAATTGCAAACCAAATGGACCTTACCCGATTATCTGAAGATTCCTGGTGTAACTCATCATCAAGGTCATCTAGTCTGAAGGTCTGTGCCAAAGATATAACATTCTTCCTGATAAGCATCTTTGTTAGACCACATGTCTTCTCTCTTGCTTCTGAATGTTCACTGAGTAGCACCTTCTGACTAAAGTAGGTATTCATGATAACAGGAACATCTGCATTTCTGAGAAGCAATTTTTGCCTGGAAAAAAATAATTTAAGTGGCATCAAATCCATGACAAAGTAAACTACTGATAAGGACTTTTTTAAAACATGTGTGTTGCATTGTATTTCTCTCCTCTTTTTTTATACCATTACCACTAAAACACTTTAAAGGTCTGTTATCAAAACTGTAAATAACTTACTCCATAGAAATAGTCAGCTTGGATCAGCCCTCTTAGCTTAGGCATAGCCCTGGGCTCCATAGTCCCTGGAGCTCCACTGCATCCAGGGACAACTTACACCTGGAAGCTGTTGAGCCCCATGAACCCCATCTGGCTTCACATAAAGGCTGCTTGGTGTCCCTGCATTGTCAGCACAGAACCAAGAGCACCAGGAACGCCTGCATACAGTTACTGAGTTAAAAGCTGTGAACAAAAGACTAGTAGTCCTGCTCTATGTTAATTCAGAGCACTGGCTCGGCAGGACCCAGCCTGGCTCTTGCAGGACATCCCTCTCTGGTGAGTGCTTCCCACTGACCCGAATTCATTCTCACTGCAGCCGGCAGCAAACTGCTCCTCCCTTCTCAATTTTTCTAAGTGCAAAATATGTTTTTCTTATGATATGCTGTATATTATCTTGCCTGTGTGTTTGCCGCTGTCATAAATGTGCTCTCCAAGATCCAGTTTTGGTTTCTAGTGCCAATGTAAATTCCCTAACAGCTCCACATGCAGCAAGTTCTTGCCTAGCAGATTAAGGTAATGGTTGCAGAATCATTAAACACACAATAATTTCATGCCAAAGCATGTATTGATGTTGAGATTTTTTCTTACACTAGTATCACAGTTGTACATTTAGAAGTACACTTTTTATACTCACAGGATACAAAATCTAATGAAGTCAGCTAACAAAACCAACAAAGAATCTCATTTTCTACAGACCATCAAAACAAACCAAAATCCACTTTATGGTAGTCTGTGTCTTTTACAATTAGATCTTTATCACCTGGGAGTAAGACAAGGCCTTCTGCCTTGGCAGCAAAGCTGAGCTGACCCGAGTTCAGTAGTAACCTCAGAACTTCAGTCTCTAGAATGCTCAGCAGTCATAT